ATATTTGCATAAGGATCAAATCTTGAATCAATGATCTTAATTGAGGAAGATTTGAAACAAGTTTGTAACCCTAATTCATTCTAGGGTACATAAGGAACATATTCAGATCAAAAGCATGAAGATTGGAGGCGTGTAAACAAGAAAGCAAGTTTCAAGAAATTGGAAAAAAGTGGCACAATGATTTCTAAGTTGCAGACCAATTCAAAGCATTCTAAGCATCCCAAACATTTGCTGGACATCCCAGGAACGTGTTCCAACCATTAGCAAGCCCCATAACATCCAAAAACGCACTGTAAGAGTCCCATGACTTCCATGTTTTTTTGAATTCGTATATTATGATTCTGGCATCTTTAGCACGAAAAATTTACATATTCTTAATCCTTGAATCATTTGCAAGCTAATGGTTGTATTTAATTGCATTTTTTATTGACTGCATACCAAGATGCCATGATTAGGGTTCGAGCTCTGTTTTTAGGGGGTTTTCATACAAGAATAATTGGCCCTAATGGAGGAGACCATTGTGATCAGCGGGTCAAACACAGTTGATCCATGGTCTTGAATTTTATTTATATTGCTTGTATGCAATTTATGAAATGCACAGGGCTATAGCTACATCGCCATGCCTGTAGGTAAAAGTTCAGAGTTTTAAACGACAGATCCAGGGAAGAAGACGATGGCGTGTCACGATTTTACTGCTCGGTTTACATTCTGGTGCGTTTATTTTGGCCAGAAGCCTGTAGCTTTGATCTATTTGTTTGTTTCTATTGTATTGATAAACTAACACCCAACGCAGTTGGTCAGAAGAAGGAAGTCAGAAGTTCATGATTCTGGATCCGATCCCAGGCGTGAGCTTTTGGCATTTCCCCTTTGTTTTCACCAGATCCAGCGCCTACATCTTCTGAGGGTCATCTTCTGGTTTCATCAACCAAGACCAGGTCAAGTATCCTCTGGTCGTCTTCTGGACCCATCAACCAGGACCGGATCAAGCATCCTCTGGGCATTATCCTCTGGATCCATCAGTCAGAGCCAAATCCAGCGCACCCCATCTTCTGATGGTCATAATCTGCTGGATCCACCAGCCAGGAGCAGGCCCAGTATCACCATCCTCTGAACCGCCATCCTCTGGACCACCTTCCTCTGGACCACCATCCTCTGGACCACCATCCTCTGGACCATCATCCTCTGATTAGAGCCGCTGATAGCAGACCCTTGGGTTACTTCTTATTTTTCTTTAATTCTCCTTTCTTTAGTTATTCTGCTTTTTTTTATCAACACCAAATTACCCTATTTTAATAACCAACAAAAACTCACAAAAAAAAGAAGACTTGTGCAAAGATAATAACTGAAATCAAATCACTCTCACATGCGCACTCCTAGGGTATACTCTCAATTCGGTTGCCTTTGGTAAACGATCATTAAGTATAAGGTGTTTTAGTGGTGGCCCTCTTGTCTAAATAAAGATCAAATGTCCCGTTCGGAAATGTTGCCTCGGAAATGTTGCCTCGAATATGATCTTAAGACATTAGGGTTATTACTAAGACGTCCTAACATTGCTTTAGTGACCGTACGTCCCTTTCGAATTGATCCTTACAACTCAACCGACGGGGCTACCTACTTCTCAATAGTAAGATAGCGTTGTCTAAAGGAAATAAGAACATAAATAATCTTTTTTTGAGTAGGTAGATGCTAGTAGGTACTTGCTCAAAATCAAACTTTTTCACACCAAACACTTTTTTACAAACAAAGTTTCAAAAACACTTCGTAACACTCTTGAGGACTGATACAAGGGTTAAAACGAAGTAAAACAAAAAAATTTCAAAATACAAACACGCAAGCAATTTTAAAATGATGAGCAAGTACCTAAGAGTCCATGGAAAACCATGGATAGAAAGGGTGCTAATACCTTCCCTTTCTATAATCTACCTCCCGTACTCAAAATCTCGAAAAAGGAATTTTTATGTGCTTTTGTCCTTTCCAGTTGGATAAAATAAAAGTCGGTGGCGACTATTGCTTACCGCGACATTTTGCAAACACAAACACAAAACACAAATCAGTATTTTCTCAAAACAGTTCGGTTCTGCCACCGCACCACACAAGTGAATCTTTTATTCCCATTTTTATAGATAGTCCACACCACACGAGGTAGCGTGCGAAATTTTATCATTACTTGGGCTCTTAGACTGCCCTAGATAATGATGGCACTTCAAACAATTGCCACGTGGGGCTTACGAAAGGACACGTCGCTGACAACAGTCTCATGCGTAAAACCATGCACCTACGATGTTATGTCCTCGTTGTCAAATGAACGCTCCACATCATTATAATGCCTTACATACGGGCACATCAATGACGCGCTCCCAAGGAAACTCCTCACCCCCCGCGGATGTAGATTCCTAATGGGAACCGCATTAATACGAGAGAAGGACGAAGTCGACCAATGAAATTCTCCCAGAGTTGGTCGACCACACCACGCGCAAGTTCCTGAATCCTCCTCGACATGAATCTCAGAGTCGTGCCTAACGGGAGTTGACAATTTCCCCTCTCAGGCAACACTTCCCCGAAACTTGAATTGACCTCAAGTCATCGCCCTTTCGCATAAGGGCAATAACTTTGGGGACTCCCTTTCTGGACTGGGCCGACACTTGCCTCACTGTTGGGGAGGTCCAGTTTGGTGGCTCTGCCTATGGCCCAATAGCTTCAGGACCAAGTTAGATAGTCGTTGAAGATTTCTCTCACGTGCCCGTTGGAGAACGTATCCCTTAGTCAGTGTCAACCACCACTTGCCCTCCGAGAATAACGGGTCCACTGTTCCTATATTCTCGGGGCGCTTTACCAGGGAGGGGGCCACATTGCTGGAACCTATTACCCATGTAAGCCCTGACAGTCCTTGTTGTTGGGCCCAAATCACTTGAGAGGATCAGGTATTCATTCATTCTACCTCACTTCTGTTACTTGCACTTTGATTGTCTAGACTCTTACTTTGGTATAAGAGTATCTTGCTGGTACCCTCCCTCCCCCCTCCCACTTCATATTTAACCGCTGCTCAACTTGAAGTTCGTGAGCCTTGACGATCTCTTCTGATCAGGTACGATCACTTACCTTACAAATCGATTTTGTATGGATGAATTAGATCAAACTCTAATTCTATCAATGACACCCCTTATCGTTCAAGCCGATTTTGTATGGATGAGTTAGGTCAAACTCTAATTCTATCAACTTGATTAATAAATTTATTTTAAAAAATGTTTAAAGGATGACTTTTTTTAAATAGGTAGAATATTCATAATAATAATATTTTTAAAATTATATTTTAATTTTTATTGATTAAAATATAATACTATTTTATTTTATTATAATGTTATCAGACAGGTTGTTGTTTTTCCTACTATAGAGTATTTTTTTTCTTCATCTTTTTCTTTGAAGTTACATGCTTACTCCGATGCAAATTGATGCAAATTGGATAGGTGATCTCATTGATCACAAGTCTACTAGGAGTTTTTATATTTTTCTAAAAGATTATCTTATTTCTTGAAAAAACAACTAAAATATAGATCTCGGTAATGAGAGTATCGTGCTATGACAACGACCGCTTCAGAAATATTGTGGTTATTTTGTCTTCATTTTGATATGGACGTCTCTCTCTAAACTCAATCCTAAAAATTGCGATAACAAGAGTGTCATTTATTGCTCATAACTTGGCTTTTCATGAACTTATCAAACACATTAAGATTAATTCACTTTAGTCGCCATCATCTTCAACATAGAACTATTACTTGACTGTTTTTTACTTTGTCCTTGCAGATTGCTGACTTGTTCACTAAAACACATTCCATTAAACGTTTTCATTTTTTGATTGACAATCTCTCGATGCTTCTTATTAATGTATTGTGAGTTTGAGGGAGAATGTTGGTTAATATATTATATTCAGATTAGTTTAGCCTTTTGATACTTTAGTATATATACTTTTATATTGCTTTGTATTGTGATACTTTTGTTATTCTTAAAAAAACCCTAACCACTTTTCTTCTCTCTTTCTATTTCTATGTGAATCTCTAATGTTAATAATATTATCTACTGCTTCAAGAACAAAATATAACTTGTAAGTTTGTGTAAATCTATGAATGCCTCTAACATCCAAGTAAGCATCCCCAACTCTTTACACAAAGCTCATATTCTAAGTTCAAATCACCAATGCAAGGAGAATTAAGAACTACATATATGTTTCAAAGTTGATTTATGTGAAATTTTGGCAAGAAAATAACCCAAAACATTTTCCATTATAAAATGTTTACTGTATATCCAAGTTGATTTTTGAGAAAAAACACAGGCTTACTTGATCTCTACAAAAATGAAATGTATCAGTCTAGGGACAGATTTTAGTTGTCAACTATTATTTTGACCAGCATTTGAAATGGTACTTTTTATTTCCTAGGGGCTAAATTATTATATCTGTGTTTTTGCTCAAGGGTGAGATGCTCTTACAATCAGGTCTAAGAGGTCATTGCACTAAGACAGAAATCCACACTGTTTGGGTTATTGATTTGATAATGACAGCAGAATGAAATACAAACAAGCCTTAAAGTGAGACATGGAATGATCTCCATCCGTGTGAGCAATTATTAGTCTGTAAAATTGTATTGCAAGGAACAGTTAAAGTTCAACTTAGTACAACATACAAAGTAAAATACAAAACCTGCCAATTCACATAAGGGTAAACACATTATTACTCTCTCTCTCTGCATCAAAGCGATGATAATAATATAAGAATTTGGTGAGGGCCATGTGCATGCGGATGCAGAAGGAGAGAACAAAAGAGTAAAGCTGCTATAAACCTTTCGTAATATACAAGATTCAACAGTAACACTAGTGACTGCATTAAAGAAAATTAAAGTGCTTCTTGTGAAGTTTATCCAAAGAGGCTCTATATGAATTCTAGAACTGGACAAGATTTGCTAACCTATTCATGAACTTCATCTTCACTATACTTCCAGTAATAACTACTACGCATCGTTGGAACTTTGTTCTTCACTCCTGCTGCTCAGTTCAATGTCATTCGTGCGAGTCTCAACGGAAACATTTGATAAACTAGACTGATCAGGGCTTTTGTTTTCGGTTTCCTTTTCAGTTGCTTCCCCTGAAAAGGATTTGAAGGCAAGCTGGCCAGAATAAAGGAATAGACCAACGGAATTCAGGCCGAAAATAAATGTTGCAAGGTAGGTCAAGCCGTTTATTATCGTCCTGTGAAAATTTGTCATACGGTTGTCAGGTGTTTCAAAAACTAAAATAACGGTAACGTCCCAGATAGATAAGAGACCGAAACTACCTTACGGTGATAGTTATCTGACGAGCCTGAAAAGCATATCGTTATACTATTAGATTATGGTGACAGCAAGAAAAACTATTGATCATCATCAATGCACGAAGAACATGAATAACTGTTAGATTGGTTTTATGTAATTATATAAGTCCTATCAATATGATATGAAACAAAAACTATTCAGTTAAACAATGTTGCAAACATCAGATTATGTAAGTACACCAAACAACAACGTTGGTAGTTGAAGACATTTTGTTCCCTAAAAGACAGAGCACAAGAAGTAGATATAAAAGGACATGAGAAGATGATGAGACATACAGAGAAATCCTCTGAAATGGTTTGTCGGGTGAGGCCCGCCTCGATGATAGTGGCAAACTTATACATGATGAGAGAAATAACCCCGGCTGCTATTGCCCCGAGAAATGTTTGAACGGGTGAAGGTGGACCCTTAGTAGTCTCTATTGAAGCAGACCCCATTGCTTTCAACGTCTGCAATGCTTCTTCCTTCACTGATTTCTCTCCTGAAGACCTGAATTGCTAAAACCACAACAACAAAAAAGGTCGTTTCAGTGAGTATACAAAGAGAGAACAAGAGGGTTGAGTTCAAACTTCGAACCGTTTGTTTGAGGCGTTTGGCTCTGCGGCGGAAGGAGCGGAAGAGGAGGACGGAGATGGCGCCGGTGAGGAGAATACTGGAAGCAATTTGGATGAAAGAAGGGTCGTCGGTGGATGAGAGAAGAGAAGGAGGGGAAGAGGATGGGATTTCGATGGGTCCGTCTGCACCGTCGGTTGTGATTGTTGTAGTGATGTCTGCTAGCCATGTTAATGCTGAGGATGTTGAAGAAGGAATGGCGGAAATTGAAAAGGAAGTGGGTTTTTTGTGAAGAAAAGGGACAAGAGAAGGTTTATGGTTATGGTTATGGTTATGGTGGTGAGATAGTGATAGTGGGAAAGGGAGATTGTTTGAGAAGTGAAGCTGGTGGTGGCACTGAAACTGCAACATTGGTGATTGTGTTCTGTGTTATCTATGGAGGAATAACAAGTCTCGTGTTATCTAAATATCTTGTGGAGTTAATTCTCTTGTGGGAAAACCAAACACCCCACATATCCATCCATTCATGGATATCATCTTAAAGAATTTCTTAAGCCACTCTTATATAATGAAAAAACATTTTTGAAAACTTAAAAATATCACTCGAATATATATTTGAACGCATCTTAAATTATATTTTAAAGATATTTAAAATATGTATATTCGATTTTTTTTTGTTCTCCAATGTTTTATTATTTAAACATTGAATTTAAAATGTCAAAGGTAATTTCATATATGTATATCCGAAACTATCTTTGATATATAAGTTTGCTGCATGGTCACCCCTACCACTATTTCATTCACTTCCTTCCTCTCTTAACCAATATCCTCCACAAAATTACAACCATTCTCAATCAATTTTTTTATCTCCAAATCAAGTTTCAAGTGTTTGATCATAGCAAAGAGAACATAGAAAGTTATAATTTGAGGTAAAGTTTCCTCATTTCATCTCATGTTCCTTGCATTGATGTTGATTTTAAGATGAAAAAACAGCTTCACTTCAGATATGCATATCTGAATTCAATCTACCATAATTTGAATGTGCATATATGAAAACATGTATGTTACAGAAACAAAATTTTATTTTAACCGAATTTATATTTTTTGCTCGTATTAGATATGGTGCATCCCGACGTGATTCTCAAAGTTGTCTTAAAGGTTTTAGACAAATGACTGTTTAAAACATGGGGGGAAATGATTGTTTAAAATATGGGGAGTAATGGTTCTGCTTTTGTAACTGCATCTTTGTCATATCTTTATGATTGCAGTTTGTATCTCCAGGTTTATCATGTTTTGGTTGTTTTACACAAAATTTACCAATGGGGGAGATTATTAGTTCCATGGTTTTATGATTAGCTAAATTTTGGTAAAAATACGGTTCTATACTGATGTTGAACAAGATGTTGTAACATATTTGTTGTACCCCAAAATTTGCCCTCCCATATTTCTCAAAACATGTCAAGAATAACTTCCAAGTTGCTCAAGATGGCTCAAGAGTTAGACAGTCAAATCACCTCCTAAGGCAGTCAATCTCAAATTAGGGTTTTGTGTTGCATCAAGGTCCTTACATCCAAATGACTCCAAGTGCTCCCCAATGTCCTAATATGTTCTCAAGTTCATCCATGTCAAATTTCAAGCATTGCAGAGGAAGTTTGCTCAGTCAATTGCTCAAGAGGCCCAAGAATCGACTGTGCTAGGGCAAAAGTCAACTGTGACCCAAATACAGTCAAACCTCAAGATTTTTTGTCAACATTCTCATTTTGAAGGATAATTCATCATTTTATCAGGGGTTGATCATGATTCATCAAGGATTGCTCAAGATTCATCAAGATTCAAAAGTTGCTAAATTAGGGTTTTGTAGGAAAAGTCAACTCAACTTTGACCAAGCATAACTTTCTCATACATTATGATAAATGACCCATACAAAGCTCATTTTGAAGAGGATTAAATTTCCTACAATCCATCTTCATACCCCAAGATCAATAAATGCACTCACAAAAAGTTACAAATTTGGACATTATAGGTCATTTTTGGAAGTCAACAAAAACACCTTTTTTCCAAAGCTTACAACTTGATAATGGAATATCAAAATGAGATGATACCAAATAGTTGGTTATAGGACATCTCAAGGTTTATAAAAAGTCCAAGAACACTACCAAAAGTTTAAAATTGAAGAAGTTATGCATTGTTGAAGTTGGGCATTTTTCCAAAATTGCCAAAAGTCAACTATCCCCAAAACATCAAATTTTAACAAATAGGCCCACTTTTTTCCACTTGATTTGATCTTTTCACACCACACACGTGTCATATCTTCAGTCTTGTGCCAATTTATTAATTTTTCTATTTTATTTGATTTTTATTGATTTAATTCATTTTTAATCAATTTAAATCCAAATTAAATCTAAATATTAATAACTTGTGATCTTTTTGATTGATATAGGTTTCAATTATCATCATGGACCAAATCAAATCCTAATCATGCCATGTTATGAATAAAATATTGGTTTTTGACACTTTTGGAAGCTTTGTTAATGGAGAATAAAATCAAATCTTCAATCATCAATTCACATGGATTCAAAGCCCAAAATTAAACCTAATTGCTTCTATTATACTCACACAATGCAAAGGCACAAAGGACACGACCAAAAGGTTGCAAAAATCACAATACCAAACTTGGAAAAAACACCAAAAAAGCTTGGAACTGAAATCTTGGTTAGAGACGTTTTCAAGACAAAATCTCAACATAGACTTCTTGCCTGACATCCATTGAAGCAATTGGAATCAAAATCAAGCCTTCTCCCTCCCTGAAACGCGCTGTAAGTCCTTTGAAAAACACCCATGTACACGAAATCGTGTTCTCTTGTTCTTGCACTCTTTTGCCAAAATCTGTGCATATTTGTGTTTGTCGTTCCATTTAGAACATTTCTGCATTATTTGATTTTGTTTTGGTAGCTTGTAACCTTGTAACCGAACCTAGGGTTTGGAAGGTTATTTTTTGGGTATTTTTGCTACAGGTAAAATAAAGCCAATTGATGGATATAAATGTGTTCACGAGATCCAAACGAATCGAACCATGGTCTTGGAATTGATTTCTATGGCCTAGGATGGATTTTAGAAGGCAGCTAGGGACTTTGTTGCGGATTCAAATCCGCAGGAAAAATAACCAGGGTCATTGGAGAAGATGAAGACGTGTTCATGTCCGATTGGCCCATTCAAACAAATCTCGCGCGTTTTTTTAATTTCCAGTGTATTATTTGCTTTTCTCTTATAATATCATTTATCCATTATAATAACAATTGGGTGCGTTAGTTGAGTTGGCAAGCGTGGTGTACCAAAGTCCAATGGGACCTGGGTTCGAATCCCAGGTCCCCCAAATGCCTTTGTTTCATTTTTCAGCAGGTGTTCCCATGCAGCATCCAAGAGGTAGCACACCATGCATCATCACCTGATCAGGCGCCAGATGGCCTTCAGGTCAAATCCAATGGCCAAGATTGAACATCCACCATGGTCTCTAGTCAACAGGCGCACATGGAATTACAGAAGTCAACGAAGGCCAATGTTAATGGGCTTGGAAAATTGCAAATCAAAACCTCCCAGTCTGCCCCCCCCCCCCCCCCCCAATGGGTTATTTCTTTTCCTTTTATATTTCTTTTTATTTAATTGTTTTTGTTTATTATCATTATTATTTAAACTAACCAAATTAATAATTTTTCTTAATAAAATCAAAAACACAAAAAACATTATTTTTATTTATTAAAATTAAATGCATCACTGTATTTTTGTAAATAAATATTAATCAATTAATTTAGTTTTTAATTAGGAAATAACATTAACAATTTTGCAATAATTAAAATTAATGTAGAATTAGATTTTATTAACTTTGACCAATTTATTTTTATTTCCTTAAATATAAAAAAATCCAAAAAATATTATTTTTATTAATTAATTAATTTGCTCATTTAATTTAATAATTAATTTAGATCTAGTTTCTTTTTTTATTCAAAAATAACAAAAAAATGCTTTCTTTAATAAAAAAGGGTCAAAACCCTAAAAAATGTGCCGATTTAATTTTCTCGCACGCGATCCATATTTCCAATATTGTAATTGCTTCCGGAATGTAATAGCTTTAAATAGGACTTTTAATTATTTTATCGCTTTATTTATTTTCCGCAATTTAAATTAAAGGGTTGCTTTTGTCGATGTAAATACCCGACGCCTTGTAATAGTTTAGATTTGATTTCCGCAATTTAATTTCCGCAAACTATTGACTGTTAGATGTTTGGTAATAGGGAATGCATGACAAGATCAAATCTTTAACCTAAAATCAACATAGCTCACCCATGACATGTACAAAGATAATATAACTGAAATAGCACACTCGCACATGCGCACTCTTAGGGTACACCTCACTTGGTTGCCTTCGAACGTGGTCCTTGAGTATAAGAAGTTTTAGAGGTCACCCTCTTGTCCAAAGATCATGGTTGCCTCGAAACAGTTGCCTCGGAAAAATGATCTAGGATATTAGGGTTACCGCTAAGGCGTCCTAACATTGATTTAGTGACCACACGTCCCTTAATCGAATTGACCCTTAAAACTCCAACGACGGTGCTACCTACTCATCAATAGTGGGATAGCATTGTCTAAAGGACATTAGCACAGTTTAATTCCTTTTTCGAGTAGGTAGATGGTTCTTATGTACTTGCTCCTTTTAAAACAAAACAAAACTTTTCGCACTTACACTACTTTCAAAACAAAAACTTCTTTCAAACCCAAAAACACAAAGAAAAGCAATTTTGAAAACACAATGAGCAAGTACCTAAGAGCCCGTGGATAACCACAGATAGAAAGGGTGCTAACACCTTCCCTTTCTATAATCTACCTCCTGAACCCGAGAAACATCTTGAAAAAGGAATTTTTCTGTGCTTTTTTCCTTTCCTTGTTGGATAAACTAAAAGTCGATGGCGACTCTTGCTTACCGCGACATTTTGTGAAAAAAAACGCAAAACGCAAACCAGCATTCCAAAATAAGTTCTCTTCCCACCGTATCACAGAACTGGCGACTCTGTTGGGGAATTTTTATAAGTGAGGTGTACCTTAGGATTAGATCATTGTGTTTTCAATTGTTTGCTTTGTATGATTTATATTTGTGGGCTTGTATTGGAGTTACTATAGATCCTAACCTGGATCTAGGGATACCCTTTAGGTAAGTAGCAATAAACTGTGAGGGAACTGTATGGCATAGACCGATACGGTTGAAGCAGTAGCTACGTTGGTGTGGCACTTTAGATTGTACTGATATCCCTTGTGTTGGAACGAGGAGAATATGGGTCATCTAAGGGGTCATTAAGCACCAACTGACCTTAGAACCTTTAAATTGACCAACTTGGCCATAGAACAGTAGCAGTATGCTA